TTGCATGAGAAATACGTTCCACAATGGGTCAAATAGATCCCTTTGCGTTAAGTCAACATTAAGCAGGAGGTAGGACTGACAAAGAACTGACTTAAAATGAGGCCTACTCTGGGGCCTTAAGTCGCTGTAACTTAGGGCGATTTAAGGCGACTTAAGGCGACTTAAGCAAAATTGGCCGAAAAAACATTTCAACTTTAGGCGATTTAAGGCGACTTAAGGCAAGTTAAGGCGACTTAAAGCGACATAAGGCGATTTTATTTGACTGAAGTGATAAAATCAAAGTTAGCAACAGTCTCTCCATAGACCTTAAAAATATTTACAAAATCCCTTGCAATAAACACAATGGTCAATTTGGTTACTTTTGCATGCTCATAAATCACCATAGTCTTAAATATCCAGATTTCAAACTAATTTAGCTAAAAATTAAATAGACAATTACCATAACAGTTACTGTTAAATTATGCAGTCAAAGCTAGGGAATGAATAGCCAGGAAAACATGGGTTACATACCCAACATCAAACAAACCTACCAAAAATATAGACCTAAAGACCCACATTTTTAATTTAAGAAAAGAGACATGATTCACATAAAACTATCAATAAGTTTTCCACATAATTAATTAAAAATAACTTGATCATTTAATCATTTCACAAAGCTTAACATATTATAAATATCGTTATCTTGGTAAACTTGCCTCACATATTTTTACCACTTGCACTGTCAAAATGGGCATGGAATTTTGGCAAGTCGCATGCCTTTCCCTGAACAGCATCTAAAATTGCTCGGTCCTTTTTCAGGGACCCAACCAATTTGTTGTTCTCCTGCCTCAGTTAGACAAAACACCCCAATACCATATTGAAAACGATGTGCTAAGGTCCTTCATAAAAATACTTCTTTCCAGTCTCTCCAACTACTTTTCTGGCCGGAGAAAACTTCGACGTCCCATTTATAGGGAATCTAATCTTTTAGGAAGATCTTTCTCCACTGTTCATCGGATCAGCAGGACCTTCCAAGCATTCACTTGTTTCTAACCTGCAGTTTTTCACCTAAAAAAAATTAGACAAGTTTTATTTTTAGCCTAGTGGCAGTATTACAGGTTTAAAAGCATTCACTGTTACCTTACAACTGTCCAGAAACTAACGAGTCACGATGAAATTCTCCAAGCTGATAGCTGGCTCTATTAGTCTCCACCATTTTAATTCTCCCAGTACCTTTTGCGCCGCTAACTAGTTTCCATAATTCGAGGTTAGGAGCGAGACAACTTGGAGGGATTCTCTCGCCAAGTACCCTCATACTATCTGCTATTACCGACAATTTTCCTTTACTTTACCTCGAATTTTGTCACTGGTAGGATTTTTCTTTCCCCAATGCAAGCACGTCACCTGTCAATAGACACAAGACGGACTTTTTCTGTGGGTGTGGATTTTACACTTTTCAGCAGGCTCGCGTGCACTTTGGTCACGGGACAAAACTTTAGTCACGTGATCAAATGACTGGCGGCCATGTTTACTGTAAAAGGCATTTCTCGGCTTAGAAGTGATCCATGTATATTGATCATCAAACTGCCAGAAGATGAAATGTAAAAAAAGACTCAAAGTCTTAAGATAGATAAATGCAACGTATTAATATTCTCTAATAATAATAATAATAACAACAATCTTTTATTAGGAAGCTCCATCACAATAGTGATTTACATACAGGTCCCAAATACTAGATGTGTATTATATAAAAATACAATTAAAATATAGAAATTTGAGCTGAAATTGAAATATAAAAATGATTACAACATATACACTGCAAAAATTAATTTAAAAAAATACTTAATTATAAAAGCAGAAAAAAGACACTTCTTAAAAATTGGCAAACTTACTGAGTTTCTTTCAGTTCTCTCTAACTCATTAAAGTCAGTGATACCGAGAACGATGTTTTCCCCAATTGTATTTGATTTTGGGGAGCTTTATAGTATCGTTATTGCGCGTATTGTAGGAGTGCATATCACTCTTTCTTACAATGTCTAAAGAATGATTAATTTCGCCATTAATACACTTGTAGGCATATATACATCGATGACATTTCCTACGTTCTTCAAGATTTGGCCATCTCAAGACTGTTAATGCATCAGTGGATGAGGAGTGAAGTGATCTATCTAATATCAACTTAGCTGCTTTGTTTCGCAGAATTTGCAATTCCTTCATTACTGTGACATTGTCCTTGTCACCCCAGACTAAATCAGCATAATCAAAAATAGGCAGCACTAAGCTATTATAAAAAAGTGACCGAGCACTATAAGGTAAATAATACTTAATCCTACGTAAAAGACCAAGGTTCCTTATTAACCATACATGAAATATACTCAACATGGTCGGACCATGTAAAAGTTGAGGACAACATAACTCCCAAATATTTAAAACTAGTTACAGAATTTATATCAGTGTCAAAA